GGACCACTCTACTCCTTACCAACAATCCCCAGGGAAATGAACATAACCAGCACCAGTAACTTGTCATGAGCATGACTGCATACTGACCAGCCACCCCACTGGGCACTACCACATGTCCCCACCTAGTCCTAGAAACACCGGGAGATTTAGGACAAAAAAACAAACAAACCAACAGCAGATCTGGCAGCCCCTCTTTCAGGTAGAAACCCAACAGAAGTGCAGCTCTGTGCTCACAGAAGCTGTGCCCATAAGCCATGTGTGCACAGAAATTCACGAAGCAGCACTGCTGTCACAAGCCCAAGTAGAATGCATGCAGCTCCCCCAGAGCAAAACATCATGCACATATGTGTGGAGTACACACCACCACAACACAGAACCAGCCCTGGCTGCCCACACAGTAGGGGAGAGTCCCACAAAGAGCATTGAGCAAAGGAAGACAAAGGAAGATGTGCTGTGTGGCCCAAGACACAAAAGTCCCCAAACCAACAACACAGTTCCAGGGAAGATGGAGGTCAGACTGTATAGCAATCCTCAGAGAAGGGGAGTGACTACAGGTTTCAAGGGGACGAGGTACCCAGTGTGCTCTTGTATGACACTTTTGAGGCTGCCCACCCACAGCACTGTCCTGTGGGTATATCAACCTTCAGAGTGGACACCAGTCACATACTACAGGCAACCAAGTGCATGTGTGTAGGGCTCACAGTTTAACATAGGAATGCCTTCAGGCCCACAGAAGCCAACAGTGCAGGCTACCCCATGGAGCTCCTGTGGGCCTCTGGAGGACAAGCTGCTGGAGATCAACACCATGCCCCAGACACACAGGACAGAGATCCACAGGGCCATAGGAAGGTCAGGAAAAGGTGGCACAACAAGCTGAGAGACTGTGGGTCTGGGGCCCAGTTCTACCCAGTATCTCTCTTGGGACCAGCATCCCTGCCCTTAGCCTTATAAGGTTCCCCAACCTGCCTCCTGAACAGACCTAGGCTTTGGGGAGCAGGGATCCCTGATGGATGCACCAAACAGGCTTGCAGCCCAGGGGAGGGAGGACCTGGCACAGAGAATGAGAAGAGGCCCACACTGGCAAGCCCAGATGCAGGAACTTGCTGCCAACTGTTCCACATAGGTCTTGAAAGCACCACTGGACTTTCAGGATGTCTGATTTTCAGAATCCTGTCAGGGGAAAGGTGGTACAAGGGGAGTGGAAAGATGCATTCAGAGGGAAGCTTCAGAGACATGAGGGACTCTGGAGGATAAGCAGTATCCCTGTCCTTAGTAGTCCAGGTCCAGAGCAGCAACCACAGGCAAAGCAGTGATGCCTGAAGGGAAAGTAAGAACAGGCAGCTCTAGGTTTGAAGCTGTGAGCACAGGGACAGCAGCCTGGCCAGCCTAGCCCCGGCTCTGGGGGGACAAGCACTACAGCCACAGCCTTCATTCTCTCCTTCACAGAAGGATCATCACAGAGGAAAAGAATATCAGCATACCCATGGGCCATCCAACAGTCCCAGGGAGGCAGGGCCCACCCAGTGTGGAGGGAAGGAAACTCAGGACCCAAGAGGAAGGGGCTTCATCTTTGGATGGGTGCAGCCCCAGCACCCACCTAGACAGCTGTCTTGGGCCCCACCCAAGACACAAACTTATGGCTCACAGGACACAAACTTATGGCTCACAGCAAGCTTGGGTTGATCCATGATGCTTTCTTGGTTGCCAAAGCTTAACAATCAAGGGATCTCACACAAAATGCAGATGTGGGCAGACAATGCCCACAGTCACCAGAGAAGGCAGGGCTGTACTGAGGACAACACTGCATTCCTCAACCAAGACCCTGAGCCCTGCAGCAGGGACAGAACCTATGCAGGGCTAGCACCATGGCACCCCTCAATAGGCCCACAGGGCAGGGACTGTTTCCACCTTTGCTTTTCAGAAAGGGAAAGTCATACAAGCCACCAGGCTAAGGAGAGTGGACATCCACTAGCAGGAGTCCAGGGCCTATTCCCTCTTCACCCACTACAGGTACCTGAGCTGACTCCAGAGGATTCAAACCAGGGGCTTTGAGACTCAAACCTTGGGAATTCCTACAGGGCGTAGGGCATCTCCGGAGGCAACAGGAAGGGTTGGGGGTGGGATGGGCTACATGCAGGGCTGGGGCTCTGGGGGTATGCTGGCTGTGGGGGACAAGTTACCTATGTTGGGGCGGGGGGAAGCAGGTGGCAGGCAGGGCCTCTAAGGAAAAGCCAGGAAGTCAGGAAGCACCCCCCCGTCAGCCTTTAGCCACTGAAGTTGGCAGGTATTAATCAGCTATAATTTTATATAACATTTACAGGAGTCTACCCTGGGGGCCACCCATGATCCCTTGAGCTGTTCAGTCCCAGGTAGTAGGAAAAAAGAGGTCTGCCTTAGGCTTACCCAGGGAGGGAGAAGGTAACTAAAGTAGGGGCCCTCATTTCTGTCCTCCAGGGACCCATACAAAAAGGTGAGAGGCTACAGTCAGAAGCAAAGACCCTGGAGCCAGTAACCCTGGACACCAACTGCTTCTGCCTATATGCCTCTGTTTCCCCACCTGCCAAGGGTTGCTGTGACAACGCTGTGAGGTGCCAGCACACAAACACTCAATGCATGTACTAAGTGGAAAACAGAAGCACAACAGGCTCCAGGTCTGCCTGTACATCTTCACTCCTTCCTCAGGCTGTACTCAGGGAAACCATGGCTCAGAGAAGCTGGACTGGCCAACTCTAGATCACACAGCTGGTGAGGAGAGCTGAGACCACACCATGCTCAGCTATATGTACAAGATAGGTGTGAACAATGTGACAACCCCTGAAATGCCCTCTACTCAGGCAGGCACACTTGGACAAAAGGGGTACAGGTGGCAGGTCTAGGGTCGAGGCAGGGCATGCTCCTATGGGAAAGCCTCAAAACCAATGCAACAGAATCCAACTCAAAGACTGCCACCACCAGGTCAGCAGCACCTGGGCAGGCCTGACCCCATACGCAGAAAGGGCACTGTCCATTCATGCGCAGTGAATGTTCAACAGATGATTCCAGGGGTGGAAAGAGTTGGTACCTAGGATGGGGCTCTTTAAGACAGGTATGGTGGTAGGGGAAGGGGGAAGGTTGAGGAAAAGAGGAAGGGGTCTTCTGGTTTTGGCTGCTCCACACCCAATGAAGCCTCTTACTGATGGGCCTTAGTCAAACCCCACAATCCACATGCTAGGTCTGTTTTCCCTCTGTGGAAGTGGGTAGGGAGGCAGTACTAACTGGACTCAAAAGCTCCCACCCAGAGCTCACCCAGAAGACACCCTGGGGCAGGGGAATGAGAAGGAGTTGGGGAGAGGGAGAATAGGACTGCACTAACCTGTTCTCCCAGCCTTGCAGGATAGCCTGCTGCCAGCTATCAACCATTGATAGATTGGAAGAGGCTTTCCTAGGCCCAGGGAATCTGACCTCTTGCTGGGTAACAGGCTCTGTAACACCCTATGGAATGTGTCCGAGAGATCCCCACCTCCACTTCCATGTATCTGCCTCTGGCCCCTACCAGGCACAACTTGCACAACACACCCACAGAGGCTCAGAGGGCCTCCTCCCCTGCTCTCCCAACCCCATGTGTCTTCCCTAGGGTAGGAAGGAGTGCATGCTGAGTTGGGGCCTGACACCTGGGAAGGGAAAGAGCCCCACAGGCAGGCTGCAGGCAGTACCCCCAATATCAGGGCTGGGAGTGTGAGGTGGGTCATACCAGAGGACTGGTTCTGAGGGTACAGGGGCTTGCATAGATGGTGACTGATGAGTCTGCACTGGCCTGCCTCACACCCTCAGTAGCTGAAGTTATGCAGGCATTCAGCCTCACAGTCACTGTGAGCAGAAACCCGTACCATCCCAGTTGGTCTTCAGTCAGCAGCTGGGCCCCAGGGCCACCCCAGCCTGTGGAGGAGAGGTGGTGTCCCTTCTCAGAGCTCACAGAGTCTGCAAGTAGGTAGGGCATAATTCCAAGGTAGTCACCAGGCAGACATGGGGAAACCTCTCCTGTATAACCCACATGGCAGTTGAGAGCACAGGCAAGCCCAGCCTCCACCCACGGGTGCACAGGAAGCTGTGTCAGCACTAGTCCTCAGGTCAGCTTTTATTTCACTCATTAGGCTCCACTCCTGCACAGACCCTCTGGGGTACCCCCACCCTATAGTTACCCTGAGAACTTCTTCCACAGCAGGCCAGCCCTACCCTGGTCTGGTCCCCCACCCCTCAAGTCAGCCTGATCCACAAGGTGGCCTACTCCACCTGCTCCTCCAGGAAGCCCTCCCAGCCCAGTTCCATAATAGCTTGGCTCAGCCCAACACTTGCTGATAAGAAGGAAACCTGAAATCACCAGACAGGCCTTGCCCCACAGAACTCCCAGTTCTCATCCTGAGAGCCCAGGGGATGATCCTAAAGCTGGTCCCTGTCACTCTGCAGTCAGTCACCACACTCTACTCATATCAGCCACTGGCAGGTGGAGGTAAAGGGTGCTACCCTTGCTCTGCCCTTGGCCTTGCTGCCTTCTCAAATGGTGGGTGGGCCTCCCTCACAGCACAGGACTACCTCATCAGACACTGGATCACCAGGAGGAGAGGGAACCCAGGCAGGCATGCCTGCCCCTACCATCCACTCACAAACTTCCAAAGTTACCATGTGTCCTCAGAGAGCAGGGCCAGCATCTCTAGGGTGCAGGGGAATGGCAGAATAGATAGCCAGGCCCCTCACAAACCCTGACCTGCCCAGCCAGTGTCTTTATAGTGTCAGATGCAAAAGAGACTCCCAGAAGGAGCAAGGGAAAACAGGCAGGGGCCCACTGAGGTACCCTGGCCCACCCTTTACTACTCGCCCAAGCCCCCATGGTCACTGAACCTAGCACAGGGGCGGTGCCCCCACCTCTTCATATACCAGATCTGGCCTCTAGGTCACACAGCAATGCTATCTCCTACCCACAGTTCCATCCGCCCCATCACGTCACCCGCATCCCCAGGCCTGACCTTTCGGATGTGGCCACTTCGCGTGCCAGTGAACACCACAGTGTGGCCCCGGTAGTCATAAGCAGCCACGGCAGTCAGACCATCCTCCTTGTCCACAAACAGAGGCATGCCCTCAATAGTAATCGTGCCCCCCAGGGGCTGGTTGAAGTCCTGTCCGCAGAAGTCATCGTCGATCTGTAGGGGCTACGGGAGGGTAGAGGTGAGTCTCTGGGTTGCCCAGCCTATCCCAAACACCTTCTCCCTGAGAGCAGGGCCTGGAAGCCAGGACCAGCCAGGTCTACTAACTGACAGTGCCTACAGAGGGTCTTCAGAGGCAAGCATGTGGCCACACAGAACTTATGTGGTCTGGGGCACTGCCCATACAGATCTGAGGAATGAAGGACTCCTGAACCAACTCCACAGATGGAACAACCCAGGCTCCTTGAGGCTGCCCGAGGCCCACACAGACCCAGGGCTAGACCCATGTCTCACATGCACACTACACACAGACCCCACACCCAGTTTTGGAATGGGAGGATTAAAGAAGGAGGCAGCCTAGGAAAGGCCAGGGTGCAGCCAAACAGGAGGCCAGGCCCACTGCACCAGTGACAGCCACAAAGAGGCAGGGGATAGCCGCGGGTGGGGGATGGGAGGCACATATCCTGTCTTAAATGGTTTATTCAAGACAGGAGACAAGGGTCAAACCTAACAGGCAAAGGGAAGGGCCCCATCTCAGGAGGTGACTGAGCACGAAGTTCCAGAGAAGGCCTGGAAACAGGGAATATGGGGGCTGCTGCTCCACCACAAGAGGGAGAGAGAACAAGGTGAAAGAGGCAGGTTCTAGGTGGATGACTCCGGTCAAAGGTTTGCAGGGGGAGAGGTCACCAATGAGGTACAGTCACCAGGACTAAGAGCCAAAAGGGGACAAACAGATAGAAAAATAAGGTCAGGGCTGGGCCAGGGTCCTGGAGGGGCCCCAAGATAGTGACCTGGCTGGGGAAGACCACAAGGAAGAGTGAAGAGGACGTGAGGAAGAAGTGGGAACAATGCCCAAGGAAGGGGCAGAGCTGGCCATGGGCACAAGGAATGCCAATCGCACAGTATGACCTTAGCAGAAACCACCCCTCCAAGCCTCAGTTTCTCTACTTGTACAATGGAGATAAAACATCTTTCTTGAAAGGCTAAGAAGAGGATGGACAATGCATCTGCCTAGTGTACCTGGGACCCAATGTGGAAATGGACCTGTCATGAGGCCCCCACTGTACAAGAAGGCCCCCACTGGACACGAGAAGTGGACCTTCGTCGTCCTACCTGCCCTAGACACAAACCAGTGTCACTCTCAGTATAAACATGCTGAGGCCTAAGTGGTTTTCCCTAGCCCTCCCAACAATTCCTGGGTAGTAGGAGTAGTAGGGCTGAGGTCTGTCTCTGGACGTCCCCAACACAGGTGAATTCTCAAATCCTAACACTCGCAACCTTGAACAAGTTTCCCACTAAGCCTGGTGTCTTCCTCTGAAAAACAGTGGATGCTACTACCTGGCTGAATGAAAAGCAGCTGGCCCCAGGCCAGCCCGACCAGGACCTAAAGACAGGAGCTATGGCTGCCAACTACTGAGCTCCCAGCATACATGTACTTAGGCAGCCCCAATGTCAGGGCTAGTATTGTCTGATTACATTGCCAGGTGAACTGCCAGGGCAAAGAGGCCCAGGAGACAGACACATGGCCAGGTGCCCAGGACGAGAGTGAACAGAGCCTCTTGACAGGGGACTGTGAGCCAGACAGTGTCTGGTGCCCACCTGACCCTGGTCTGCCCCAGCTCTGCCTCTCTGGCTAGTTGTGTGGCCCTAAACAAGTCACCTATCTCTCTGAGTCTCAGAGACCACATCTGTAAAATGGAGACTAGCTGGAGCCAGCAAGCACCCAGAATACTGCCAAGCACCTGGTCAAATCTCTGTCCAACAGGGGCTTGTGGACTGGTGGACATGGTACTGTTCCCTTACCCCCACCTACTGAAGGAAGAGGACAGCACATACCTGCAAGCTGGCTCTGAGGCCAATACCAAGGGGGCAGCCCCTATGGTGCTGCAAGCCTCTAGGAGACAATGGGCAAGCAGCAGCACCTGGCACAGGGCAAGTGCCACATGGGCATGTGGTCAGCATTGCTATTGTTTCAGAGAATGAGGTCACTGGGAGCAAAGGCTGCCCAGTGGGTGAGGCTGGCAGGACAGAACAGCATCACCCAAGGAGGTGAGGTGCACACTCACCGAATTGATGCAGCCCAGCTCCTTGTTGAGCAGCCAGGGCAGTGAGAGCTTGCCTTCACCACGGTAGCAGGACTGGATACGCTCCTTGATCTTCTCCTTGATGGCTCTAAGTGTAAACAGGCACAGCACTGATTCCTTAGGTGGCTTCACCCGGTTCTTCTGGCCCTGAGCGAACACGGTGAAGAGCACATCCTCATCATCAGCCAGGCCCAGCTGGTGGGCCAGAGCACTGCCAGGCCTGCTCAGATAGGCGTCCTGCACCAGGCGGTACTCCACCCCTGCCTGCTCACAGCCGATGGGGAACTCAACATACGAGTAGAACTTGGGGTCATTGACACACAGCCGCACAATCTTGGAAGTGAAGAAGTGCTCGCCAGCAGCATCAGGAGAGGTCAGCTGTGTGTCCAGCTGCAGAGTGAGGTAGTACACAAATTGCTCACTGCGGAAGCTGTACACATAGTAGATGTCAAAGGCTGGGAACTTGGACAGTGTGTCCGAAGGGATCTTGAGCTGTGATGACACAAACTCATCCTGGTACACAAAGCTGAACATGTCCGCATCCTCCTCATTGGCCATGAGTCGGCGGCTGGACAGAGTGGGGAAGTATTCGGACTTGCCATCAATGGGTGTGCCCACGAAGAGCTTGGCCTGGGCCTGGCCTGGCGGCCCAGCAATTAGCACACCTGCCATGCTGCCAGCCTCACGCACACTGGACAGGTAGTGCTCCTTGCGGTGGTGTGGTTCACCCAGCTTAAAGAGGTCATCCAGCCGCAGAAACTGACAGATGCCCTGGGAGGCACTGCCACAGGCTAGCAGGCGGTTAGCAGCATAGTCCAAAAGCAGCAACTTGTTGACATTGTCAGTGCTGCCCAGGCCATGTGGGCATGATTGCACACTGGGTGGTGGGTAACACTTCTCATTGTCCTCCACAGGGCCTGTCACATGAGCCCGCAGCAGTGTCAGGTTCCCCGACAACTTGTAGATGCGGTTCACCGCACCCACATACACATCACCTGTCTGCTCATGGACCACTAGGTGGGTAAGGCCCCAGTCGCTGGCTGAGAAGGTGCGGAAAACAGGCTGCAAACCCCTGCCTGCCCTAGTGGCACCCGCAACTGCCCGAATAATCCCCAGCAACAGTAACAGCATAAAGAGCAGCCACAGGCTCAAACGTAGCAGTGGCATGGCAGGCCCGGGCCTTAGGCCTCGGTGCTCAGGTCCTCCAGAGATGTACATCACGGGGCCAGGAGCTTCATCCCTGTGGGGAAGACAATGAAAGGGGGTGTGAGTGTGGGCAGGGCCTCACCCCCAAGGGGGAAGACATGCCCACATGCCATCTCCTGAGCTCTCTGGCCTGCCTGTCCAGGTTGGGACATCCCATGCTCCACAATCTAATCCTGGAGAAAGCAGAGGTGTAGAGAGGACACCTTCCTCGCCTAAAGCCCTGCAGACAGCAAGCAGTCCAACAGGAGTCACCAAGATCAAGCCTGTGATCCAAGACATAGCACACGACACTTGTCTAGCCAACAGACATGGACCATGAATGCCTAGACCTGCCATTGCTGGACAGGTGGAACAGAGTAATAGATCCAGGAACAAGGCAAGAGAGAAGATCTGGGGTCTAGACTGGGAGCCATCACCTGACTCAGAGCCTCCCCATGTCCTAGGAGCAAGCCTTCCAAGCCCCAAGCTCCCACAGCAGGTGACAGCCTGTGTCCTAGGCTCTGGGGACACATGCTCCCTTGCAGGCCCTGGACAATCCTACTCACAGGCATTACCCCCACCACAGATGAGGACATATGGGCAGCAACTCTCAATATGGGCAGAGGGCAATATGGGTCACCTTGGCCCTAGGGCCAACCCCTTGCTGGACCTTGAGCCCCGTTACTCTGAGGACTGATACAGAAGCCAAGTTGTGTGCATCTCCCACCTATCATTGCCATCCCCAGCCAAAAGGTGCCCTCAACCTGCCCCCTCAACCCCCACCCCATGCTCCAACCACTCCCAGGTTTCCTGGTCAACTGCCTCTGAGTTCCTCTTCGAAATCCTCAACCCAACTCCAAAGACAGAGATATTTCTCCAAAGAGAAAGGAGAACAGGGACTCCCTGAACTCCACCCCTCAGCAGTAGCCATCTCTCCCCAACCTCCAGTCCACAGGCTCACCTTCACCTGCCACTCCTCCCTACCTCATCACACTTCCAGCACCATCTACCCTCATACCAGGCCCCAGGAATGCCCATGACCCTAACCCATGATCCCCGTATCACATCGCCCCCTAGACCTCCCCCAATCTGCCTATCCCTCTCCTACCTGGATGACCATAGCACTGCCTCTCATGCCCACCTATAGCCCAGTCTCCACATGGTAGCTCGACCACTTTTCTGAAATGCACGTAAGGTCACCAGGCCCTGCAAATCCTGCCATAGCTCCCCTTGCTCTGGAAAAATCTCATCTCCCCCAGTCCAAAAGCTAACAGTCAGGAACTGGGTTAAATCCAGACTCTGTAACTGTAACCATGCAACCCTGAAGAGGGATCACTCCTCTTCCCCAGCCTCAGTTTTCCCATTTATAAAAAGAGGAGAACAAGAGCTTCTCTCTCATGGGTAAAAAAGGGAAGGTCAGGGCACTCCTGCAAGGTGCCATCAGCAGGGGTAGCCTCTCCATGCCAGCAAAGACTCCGCCCTGGCTCTGCCAGATGTACTGGGGCCTCTTACCAAATTCCTGGCTGGAAACTGAACCCAGAGATGCTGAGTCCCAACTGCAGGTAGGTGCTGGCAGGAGCTGCACACATCCTTTGCTCTAAGACAATTCTCCTAATATAGACCAACAACCCCATTTTACAGGTGGGGAAGCTGAGGCCTACAGGACTTTCTGCCAAAAGAACCTTCTGCCAAGGTTGGGAGATGGGCACAGGGTAGCTGGCTCCTAGACAAGGCCCAGCAGTCTCTGGGCCTCCATGTCTGCCTTCCCCTGGACCCTTGGACTTTCTGTCCCCTCTTCTGGAGTGCTCTTCCCTTCCCTGCCCCCACACCCCTGCTCGGTTTCAGCTGCCCCTCTGACCTGCTGCTACCTGACGTTAGCAGCTGCTCCCTCACAACCAGTTACCCAGTTTGAATTTGCAGCACAAGACTTGCTAATGGCCATTGTTACTTGTTGTTCCCAGATGCTCCTCCCACTAGACTGACAGCTCCCTCAGAGAAGGGCCAAGCTCTGTGGTTTGCCTCTGTATCTCCAAAGCTGACCCCAGGAGCCAACACTTGTGAATGAATGAATGAATGAATGAATGAATAAAAGAATAGGTCCAAACAGAGCAGGACCTACTTTCTCACTTTGTTCTCACTTCCCACACACCCTCTGCCCAGTGAATGCCATACTCAGGCCTCAGAGAAACTGAGGCTTGAGAAGCAAGAGACATTAGCCAGGATCCTACCAGCAAGAAAATCAGGTTGTGCTGCCTTGCAGGACCCTCCCAGCAGGCTATATCAGGTGCCTTTCCTTGAGGATCTCTGCCTAAACTTAGCCCCAAGAACTACAGCCACCAGGGACCTCTGCTGGCAGCCAGGAGAGGAGGCCCCAAATCCCCACACCCTAACCCCAGCTCAGGAGCCCAAAGCAGCACAGAGAAAAGGCTCCTCACAGTGGCAGCAGGGACTGGGCCAAAAGCTGAGTGCATGTGAACACCAAAGAAAACATGAATCACTCACCGTTTATCAGACCTGCAATTACCAGGGGCTGGGCTCTCCCCTCCTCCAGGATAATTATATGTTTTAATGCAATTACGGGCCCTACTTTTTATATTAAACAGAGGGATCCATCCAAACTCTGGGGCTACCACTCTCCTTCCCCCACAACAGAGGCTGCAGGGGTGGGGGGGGGGGCAGGCCAAGGGGAGGAGAGGGGAGGGGCAGGCCAAGGGGTTGGGACTGCTTGCCAGGAAAAGGGGGATCTGGAACCCAGGGTTGGGTTCCTCAAGCCCACCATCTCACAAGGGTGAGCAAACATGTCTGGGCTATTTCCCCTATCTTAGAAACAGGGTGCCCAGGGCTCAGACAGATTCAAGGTCACCCAGCTAGTCCTGGCAGGACAGGAACTGATTCCTACACTCCTACAGAGACCTGGATGGCCAGGCTTGCAGGAATCCCACATACCTCTGACTTGTCCAGGGAAAAAATGCATTCATTCCAAAAAATGCATTCATGCCAGGGTGCTGGGGAGGACCATGCTAGGCTAGGGAAGGGGAGCAACACATATGCTGTGCTCTGTGGCTGAGAGGGGCTGGGAAGGAGCAGAACCAGCCCCTATGGTCTGGGGAAGCTCCCCCAGGGAGCCTGTTCACCTGTTCTAGAAAGACCACTGCACACAGGAGCTAGTTGGGGAGGAGGCACCCTAGGTGACTAATAGCAAGAGCAAAGGCCTGGGGTGGAACCTCCTGGACCATGCAGAGGGAACTGAAAATGACTGCAGCTTCCCAGCATGGAAAGCAGGCTATGCTAGGGCCCTGTCAGAGCTCAGGAAAACAGGCTATGTTAGGGCCCAGGCTGGGAAGGAGAAGCTGAACTGGTGTTGTATGTACCAGATGGGGGTGAGGTGAGGGATAGAAAGGCCAAGACAGAGGCTGACAGGTCTGGCACAGCAGGTTCCACTCCTGGACTGGATGGACTCAGTTGTGCAGCAGAGTATGGGGTGAGCAATGTCCTCTGTCCTCCCAGACAGCCTCCCCCCACTACTCTTGTTCACCCTGAGAAACAAAAACCCTCACTGATTCAGAGAGGGCCCAAGCCCTCTATTTCTGGCTTGGGATCCTGCTGGGGCTTGGACAGGTTGGGGCATGGGGAGCCCGAGAAGATACTGCTATCCTGCCCAGTGGTATACCATTATCAACCAGGACAGAGAGCTACCTATCATCCCACCTCCCCCAACAAAGACCTGGGGAGGTGGTCCCAAAATAACCAATTCTCCCACCACTGCAGTCCTGTTTCTCAGGAAAAGTGCCTCCACTTGGCCTTTCCTGGAAGTGATGCCCTCTTCTCCCGGCCAGTTTTAGACACAGGGTACCTTCCTGGGATATCAAAATTCGAAAACCACCTCAGGGACACAGGAGGCCAGCAAGGGCTGTCTGCTTTTTCCATGGCACCTCATCTGTCCCCTACTCCCCAGCACATACCTCAACCATAAAGGGGCTTACTAGACCTCCATCCATGCTGTCCCCTACCTGACATGCCCTTGCTGGGCTTCTCTGTACCCTCCCAGGCTGACTTGCAGCCTGGCCCTGAAGCAGAATGGACTGCCTCTAGCATTGCAACTGAGTGCTCCTCAGGGCTGGGCAGAGTCTTGGCTACCTGGTACAAAATCTGGTCTCTCCTGCACATCCCAAAGCCAGCAGGGAACCGAGGATACCTGGAGGGTGTTCCACAGGGGCCAGGAGAGCAAAGGCTGAATCCCACCCCAACCCACCCCCCTAGTCCCTACCCAGACCCAGAGAACTAGCCTCAGAGGGGGAGGTACAGAAGCCCAGGCTCAGATGCCAGAGGCACCGGCCACATAACCCCCAACACACACACCCCTTCCTTTCAAGGGGCGTGGCCCCCGCACCCTAAAGAACAGCAATGGCAGCTCCAGGCTCTGAACAGTCAATGGGTCCCTCTCACCTCTCTCCACCCCTTTCCCAGGCTGCAATTTCGATTTCACAGCATGCAGGAGACTCCCTGGAAGCCCCGCTCCCCCTACCCAGAGGCAGCCCGAAATCAGCCATGCCGCCTCCAGCTACGGTGCACACCAGGCCCAGACTCTCCAGGAAGCAATCGGAAGCCTCCGAGGAAAGCAGACTGACCCTGGAGAGGCTCTACCAAGGGGAGTCCGAGGCCCCAGCGAGCAGGGCGACTGCCGAGGAGGCACCCGCACCGCCCCCTCCTAGCCCCGGTGCGCGGCCCTGTGGGCGGGCGGGCGCACAGACACAGCGCCCATCTCCCGGCACCCCACGCCAGGAGGGGTGGGGACAGGGATGGGGTGGGGACGGGGCGGGTCCGGAGGAAGCTGCTCTAGCTTCCACCATAGGGCCCTGAGGGGCGACAGTGGGCACAGCCCCGCACTCCCTTCTCTGGCTCCCGCGGCCCTGCCGGGGCCTGCACAGCCCGGCCCGGCCCTGCCGACCGGCAGAGGTCCTGCCCGCGGTCCAATCTACGGGCGCGGCCTGGGCACCCGCAGGGCCCTTCCCGCGGGGCAGCGGCAAACTTTCTTTCCAGCCTTTGAGGAGAGGGCAGCGCCGGCCCTAGCCTCGCTGCGCCGCAAAGAGCACTGCCCCGCGGTGCTCCGAGGGCCGAGCCCGGCCGGCAGGGAAGCCAGTGGCGCAGGGCCTTGGGCCAGGTCCGACCCCGGCCGAGTGGGGACCGGACTAGTTCAGCGCCTGCACAGCGGCCACGCCGGACACACTAGGGAGTCGGGCCGCAGCCGCAGGGGCACGCGGACACGCGCGCCGCAGTACCCCACGCACACTCCCCGCCCTCCGGGTCGCACGTCCGCGTCCTCCGGAGGCCGCCGCCGCCGCGGGCCGGAGGGCGTCTCCCCTCCGGCCCACCCTAGCTTGGGACCCTCGCCAGCACCGCTCCCCGCTAAGGGGAAAGTTGCGCCCCTACTCACCGGCTGCCCCCGGGCATGCCCCGCCGAAGGCCATTGCCGCGTCCCACTGCCGCCGCCCGCTCAGCCGCGGGGCCGCCCAAGCCGCACAGGCCGAGGCCACCGCCGTACCCGGGCTCCGTCGCGTGGCCGCGTCGCCGCTGCCCAGCATGAATGGGACGCTCAGCCCCGCGCGGCTGCGGACCAGCCTCGATCTCGCAGCCCGCTGAGTGCCGTGCAGCGCGCCTGCGCGGCCCGAGGCCGGGGGCGGGGCTGGCGGGGCTGGCGGGGCAGGCGGGGTTGGCGGGGTTGGCGCGGCGGTACCCGCAGCAGCCTCTAGAGGGCGCCCAGTCCCGCGCAGCGCTCCCGCCTTGTCCCACCGCTCGCTTTCAAAGGGCGATGCAGCTGTCGGCTTTAAATGGCTCGGCTCGGGGGCCGCGGCGGGACGTCCACAGGTGCCCCCCCCCCGTGTCCGGGCTGTCCCGAGCCTCTCCAGGGGCTAGGAGCACAAATTCCGTTCATGGAAAGGTAAACCGAAGCCCGAGGAGGGAAAGTGCCCTATCCAGGATCCTGTAGCGCTGTAGGTCCTCAGCTCTTGGACTCGGTGACCTCAACTGCTGGGTGGGATGTGTACCCTCTCTAGTGTGCAAAACAGCGCCTTGCACCGGCTGAGCAGCAAGGCCCACCCTACTCTCCTCCCTGCTGCATATTCATTGATGCGGACGAGACCCTGGAGGAAAGTTGAGTTCTGAGATGGGGGCGTGGCAGGACGGGAACCCGGCAGCCCTGGACCGCGGCGGCGTGGACGGGGGCGCAGTGGCTGGGGCTGTCCAGCAAGAGGACAGATAACAGTCACCCGTGACGGTGCTTTCCCTGTGGCCTGCAGATTCCGAGAGCCGCCCAAAGATGTGGGGGCGGGGAGGCCTCCTAGCAGAATGCCCCAGGCAAGGTGAGACCAGGTGCAGGAGCGCCTCAAACCTAAAGAACCAGCAAACCTCCTGGTGGGCAGGAGAGCTGCGTAGATGAGAGAGCAACAGAGTGCCTCCGTGTTCAAGCTGTGTGAGAACCTGACTGTCATCCCCACAGAGGAGAAAATAGTTGTAGTCTCAGGTAAGGAACTTAGATTGGCCAACGGTTCCCTACCGCCTCGTTCCTCTTGCTCCCCTGGAACAGCCGCTATCCTATTTCAGGGTTAATCCCTCCCTCGGTTTTCTTTGTGTATTTTCAGTGTAGCCTGCTGCTTTGCTGTGCTTGCTGTGGAGCATCACAGAATTCTGATCTGCTAGATGTGAAGACCCATACTGGTGGTGTTGCTGATGGGCAGTTTGTTCACTCTGCTTTGTAGTGTTCTTGCATGCCGTACTAGTCATCCCTTCTGTTGATGAGCCAGTGCCCCTGGTTTACGGCCACTGTGCAGTGAGCTGTTTTGGACATATCTTTGTAGGCTGTTGGCAGCAGTTACACCCTGGGGTGGACTGTTAGGTAACCAGGTATGTGTGTGTTTAGCTTTGGTGGATAACCCAAAACAGTTTGTCCAAGTGATAGCTGGGTTTGCAGTCCTGCAGCACTCTGGCAAGGTCCCAGTGTTATTGTAAGTAGCTAGATATTAGTAAAGGAAGGAAGCAAAGGGAATCTGACTCTGTTGAGCCTTGTGGGCTAAGGAGCTGAATTGGACACTGGGCCTGTTTAGCTGGGAAGTTGCAGCATTCATTGGCTCCCTAGGGGATTACAGCATTGTTCCTCCAAGAGGATTCGTGCCTCTTCCTCCCCCGTGTAGGTAGGAAGGACCAATTTTTCAATCTTCCCAGGATACAGCCGTCCATCTCCCCTCCCCCAGACTACATGGGGAAGAAATAAACAATAAAAAGGAAATTCCTCTGCTGGGCACATGCCCAGTAGAAGCCAAGATGACAAGGGGGAGGTACTTCCACTTTGAGGCATGCACAATAGAAGCTGATATGGTGGTCATAAAGTCCTGTCTGTCTAGTCTGGGGAAAAGAATAGATGTAGAAAATGGATTGGTTAGGGGGAGGACCTAGTGCCAGCCTGCAAAAGATTGGAAAGTTTATTGGTTAGTTTGAAGAAGGTCCTGGTCCCTCTCAAGGCAGAGATGATATAATCTGATATAACCCCAGTTTAACAAGAATCAGCCTTTCTCTCTCTTCCCCCCTCCCTTCCTCTCCCCCTACTCACACATGTGCTCTCTGGGTCACTCAAACCCTGTTCATTCATTTGTTCAGGTGTTCTTTCTCCATAGCAGCTATGTGGCCATAACAGCTTCCTGGGGCCAAGAGCAGACAGCACACGCCTGGGCACAGTGCCAGCCAGAGTGTAGCTGGGAACAGACTACGCTAGCTGAATGGCAACAAACAGGGACTAAATTGGATTAAGTTTAGGCATGGCATATAACTTTTGGGCCTTGACTTTTATATTGGGCTGGATGAAGACCAGACTGGATTTTTTTCACAGTGGGATAGATGGAGATGAGGTACTTGGAACCTGGGGGTAGTCTTCTATTTCCACCCAAATAAATTTTACAAGCAGACCTCACCCTCCCTTGTGGGTCCCCAAAAATGTTTTTCTCACAACACTGCAAGGACCCCATTTTTGCTGGCAATACCAGCATTCCTCATCTTCACCCATGCTTGGTACTGTTGCCCTGGAGTTGTTGTCCATCTGGTGACATGCACTGATTTTTTTAACATTTTATTTATTTATTTTTAGAGAGAGATGGAGGAGGGAGAAAGAGGAGAGAAAAATCAATGTGTGGTTGCCTCTTGAGTGCCCCCTACTGGGGACCTGGCCTGCAAGCAAGGCATGTTCCCTGACTGGGAAGGAAACCAGAGACCCTTTGGTTCCCAGGCCTCACTCAATCCACTGAGCCACACCAGCCAGGGCACATGCACTGATTTTTTTTATTGTGGCTTTAATTTGCATATCCCTGAGTGAGAGTGAGCATCTTTTTTCAAAAGTCCTACTTAGTATTTCATTGAACAAGCACTAATCTTGCACTGAATCTACACAGGACTCTGCTACTTTTAACAAATGAGTAAACTGAAGCAGGAGAGGAAAGGTGATTTTCCCAAGTTCCCTGGCTGGAGGGTGGCAGAGCTGAGAGGCTAACCCCAGCAGTCTAGCTCCATAATCCGTGGTCTCAACTCAGTCTCTCTGCTATACTGCACACTCATGAATCAGCAAACCAGACACAAGCACCACCCTTCCTCGTGGACTTCTGAACCATACACCTGGGTGTGGATTCTGGGGTGGTTAGTTAATAGGCAACAAGTCCTGTCTGTTTCCAAGCCCAGCTTTCCTATTCTCTGAGAAGGAGTTGGAGACCTGTCTGAGAGATGTGATGAGGAGGTATGAGTTTGAGCATGATAGTGGGCTTGAGGAAATGTCCATCCCTATTCCCTGTGTTGGCACCAGTGCTGTTCCCACCACTCTGCTCCTTGCTAACCTATCCTCTGTGGAGCCACTAAGGCAGGCACTTGTCAAGGCCATTCTCATTCTGGCTCCACAGTCTCCAAGAGCCAGGGCCACTCTATTAGGATCCAGCCTTCTGTCTTCACTGTCTCATGGAGTGGCTTAGGGGGGCTGCTAGGCTCTGGGTGGCAGTCTGCTCATAGTTAACATGGCACCATCTTGTCCTACAGTTGCCCAACCAGGAACCACAGTGTCCTCCTGAACACCTTTCCCTCTCCCAGTGCCCCTGCATCCCTGAGCCCTGTGGATTCTCTTTGCAAACATTGCACCAGATTACACTTCTTCCCTCTATCCCCACTCTGTCTGCTGCTCCTGCTCATATCACCACTCTGTCCACTCCCCACACAGCAAAGGCAAGTCTTTCCAAGATGGAAATTTGATTATGTAACACTGGACTGTCATACACACCATCAGTTTCAGGAGAGCCATAGGCCCCAGCACCATTGAGAAAACCACAAGACTTTTAGAAGACAACAGAGCAGATTACTCTTATGACTGTGGGCTAGGGGTGATTTCTTCAACACATCAAAAATAAATAAATAGAGGAAAACATAAGTCAATTTGACTACCTTACTATTAGTTATTTTTTGTTCATTAAAAATTAGAGTTCATTGAGATTTATAAAAAGGAAATGGCCAGACAAGCCAGGATTTAGGGAAAAATACTTGCAATGCGTGTTTTTCCAAATATGCATATTCATGATATAGAAGGAGCTCCTAGGAATCAATGAGTAAAAGACAACAATCCAATAGGAACATGGGGAGAAGACCCCAACAGGCAGTTTACTGAAGAGAAAATGATTAATAACTGTTGCTCCAATGAGCCCAGTGCAGCAGTGCCTGCTCTCTGGAGCTCCAATGAATCCAGGGGCACCCGACCTGAATTTAGCTAGGAGCTCTTCACCTGTGTGAGTCTGAGTGCCTGGGTGCATGTGCATGTGTGTGTGTGTGCCCTGACACTACTACCCACGGAGGTCGCCCCCATGCAGTTAGAGAGGGGGAAGCCTCAGCTGGATTTGTACCAGGCATCATGGGGGTAAAATAGTGGGACAACTTGAACCCTTCCTTTCTCGGTTTTCTCTGTGCTTTTTCTCCTATTGACCAAGCAGTTCAGAAGGGCATGGGGATTGTTGGATGGCATGGAACAATTTTGAGGAATGACTCTCACTGGGGTTTGAGAGGAGGCTCTCACCACAGGAGCAGCTGCTAAGGCCACTTCTGCATACTATTGACTCAGAGCTTTGAACAAAAGTAGATTCAAGGGTGCCTTCTTTTTTCCCACAGTGGGCCCCCACCACTGATGGGTAAGCAGGAGGCCAAGGGATGGAGCAGAGGGTGTACTGGGTACCCCAAACCCTTGTGGCATGCCTGGCTACTGGGCTCAAAGCTAGAATCATCCTGACTCCTGCCTGTGCCTTGCCCGCCATGTCAGAACCATGTCTCACTTTCTCCACTCCTGTCACCTCCTACCCCAAGGATGTGAAGGTTTTCTTACTCACCAGCTTTCACCTGCCCCTCCTTACCCAGCTCTGTGTGACCAAAAGATTCTGAAAGAGGAGAAAAGGTAGAGACCCTCCCTGCACAGACCCTCCAAGGATTCCTTCAACACACAGAACACCTCCACCCCAACCCCATGTTATGTACACATACATGCATATACACTGGGGACAGGCATGGAGCGGGTGTTCCCTGGGAGTTCTTTCATATTTGGTGGGGACTTGCCCTGGGCTGTCAGGGTATGAGTA